TATATACACATATATATATATGTGTGTGTATATTGACTTCTACAGTTGCCTTCTACTGTAGGCCTGCTTTTGTTAATTGTAACATAAATAACGTCCAACCTTTTTCCTCCCTTTTAGCATTTGGCATTTTCCCCACTATATAATTTAATACCATAATCTAAACCCAGTCAATAAAACAAAATTTTCTTAAAGCAAACATCAGCTCTCCAAAATTAGCAGCCAAAACATTAAGTCTGCAGCTCGACACTCATGTGAAACTAAACTCTTCCCCTATGGTCTCTCTTCTCCTCGTGCCAAAAGCAAAACAAAGCAAAGTAAAGCATTCACCCTTCTCTCCCCAACTTGGTCAATCAACCTTCATTCCTCCTAACCTTGGTCCAGTCTTTGTCTTAGTGTCAAGTCAATAAAACCTTTGGTCCACATCGTCAGTCCATCGCAGTTCAGTCACACATATTCACTCGCACGCATTCACTCAAAAGAAAAAACAATTGTCTATCATTTTGGTCTGGATTGACACTTGGCAATCCTTTTAGATAGGAACCAGGTTCCCACAGATGGCTTCTGCTCAGCCCATTGTAATCTGGAAAAGCTCACCTTATATTTGCTCTCCCGAAATTTTCTTTACAGGGCTGTTAATTCAGACTTGCAGGCCTGATTAGAACAAAAATGAGAAAAAGGGCCCAGTTCTAACCATGTCCATGATTAATAAAACGCCCTCTATTAAAATAAGAAAACAACCCAAACCTAACCGACAAAATCAACCCATCACTAAAACAACAACCCCAAAAATCTTAATCACAGAAAAGTTTGCTTACTAATCAATATGTTGTGGGGATTAGAACTTCGGGGCCACAAAGGTTTTGCCCTACTCTTGGCTTAACTAATACTTACATAGTCTGAAATCAGACTTAAAATCACTCCCTCTGTTCATTTTCTCCACCTCATATTACAGTGGCCTCAGGTTCTTCAGCGTCCTGACAATCCGAGGTCAACTGACATAATTTCACCTGCTAAATACACAGAAAATCTTGTTAAAAGCCACACAATTTGCACAACAGTAATATTCCTCTTTAAGCACTTTAAAATACTTAGATTTAGCATAAGATATAAACACATTATAACAATGTGTCATTACTAAATGACAAATTTCTTGTTCAAATCTGCACTTCTGGACAGACCTGACCACCTTATTTAATTATCCTGTATTTTAGCATTATCTATTTCACCAAATAATTCTTCTCATTCACTGCTATGTTTCCTTCATTGAAAGCCTCAGACACACAGCCAGACAGGAAGCTTCTTTGTCACCACTCCTTTCAGCTAATTTGCATACTGAGTTATATCTCAAGAAGTTGCCGTGACAAGAGAAAGGCATATTTAAAACACTACCACATGATTAAATTATTTTTATTTTTACCGTAATCACTTCTTTTGCTCAATCAGCACGAGAACACTTCCAATTCACTATTTCAAAACTACTTTAAGCTTTTAATCACTTTTTCATTTTCACCAAAGTCACCCTATTGTCATGGAACTTTCCTGAGTTATTCCTCACTTCAAGCTTTAAGTATGTTAAATCTAGCATTGATGTCACCTATTCACATTCATCAATATAAGCATGTCTTCATTGTGTTTATGTTATATGTTCATATTCTCTGAGTGTAAGCTGGTCTTCATTGCATATGTGTTTTTATATTCAGGTTTAATTCTTGCATCTTTGCACTGAACTGTGGATCAAACTGTCTCACTTCTGCTTCTCTCCAAAAATAATTTCACATGTAACAATTTGTATATGTTTTTTTTCTATTCATTAATGTAATTGTTAGTTATTTTATTTATCTCTTTTTTTTATTTATTCATTTATTTTATGTATTTATTTATTTTTATTTTTTTTACCGCTTTGTTGTGATGTGGTGGACATTCCTAAACCTCCATGAGTTCAGTCTCAATTTTCAATCCAATTTTCCCATATGCTTTCACTATATTACCCCAGATTCACCTTCCAATCATCCTCGTCCCTGTTCTCAATCAGCTGTGTGGCCTCGCAGATCAACACGGGCCCAAATCAGCTGTTTCTTCTCTCCATTGCTTCTCTCTTGATCTTTTCAGTCTTTTCTTCGAGGATTACTCCCAGTATGGCAAATCTGAAACTCAGTGTCCAGTGCTGTGCAGTGCTTCCACATAGTTGTTTATCCCACTGTTTAACTTCCCAGCTTGTAATTCAGAATGCATGTTCCATCAAATGTTTTCTTACATGCTGCTGCTGGAGTTGTCAGTGTTATAGTTAAGTTGCACTGTCTTTTTGACTGCTGTTAATTCTTCAAGTACACGGCGTTCTGTCTGTCTTCATCAGGAGATTGACTGTCCTTTAAGCTTCTTCTCAGTATAAGGCCATAATGAGAGGTGAAGCTGTCAAATTTTAAGACAAAGCCTGGCCTGTTTTCATCCCAATTCTGTTAATCTATCATTTTGCCGCTGTACTCATGTTTTCAGGTTGAGAAGGGTCCACCTGTATTGACACACTAAAACATTCAATTAATATCATTTTCATTGCTATGTCTTAATACATTCATTCGCTTCATATACCTAGATTTTAACAGTCTCTCTCTCTCTGAGTGCACACTTCACACATCAGCCAGTTTCCTTTTATGGGCATGCAAACATGTTCACTTCCTGCCAGACACTTCCTGCCAGACACACACAAACACAGCCACACACACCCATATTTTGATCTGTTTCTCTCCTTTTCTTTTTCTACAGCCTAATCGAGCTCTTTTTTTTTTTTTACAGTCTATAAACCCTCTGTAACTCTGCTAAATGTTGATATAAACAGAATGCTCTCAGTACACGCACACACACACTTAAATATACTAAGCTCTTTGCATTTGCAAAAATTCACATCAAAATCTTCAGCGTGCTTAGCAGAGGTCTTGTAGACCTACGGACAATTAACAGTTTTTCCACACATATCACCATTCTTTAGGTCAGTTTTGTAGCATCATTCACACAATACTTTCATCAGCATTTTGCACACTTCCCTGAGCTTCCTCGTCTCACACACACACACACACCACACCCTGTACAACATCCTCGAGTTTTATAATCCACACTTTACACTTACAGCAATGCACAATAATCAGACAACCCAAGTACATACAGACACAAACAACATGATCCCTGGGGGTTCTCTGGCGTCCAACACCTGGGTCCAACCCTTATGCCCCCCTCTTCTGGTACCAGACATTTCCTACACAGTTTTGACAAATTTAAAAGCCTCTAAGCCCAGGTCCAACCTTGCTGACCGAACAACCCGCTTCGGGAACGCCCTCACCGATAGCGGTGAAATTTCTAAGCCCTAGTTAATTTATAAGCGCTCCCCACAGCTCGACAGGAAGCTCTACTTACCAGCGTCTAAGTATTCCACTTGCGCCTTAAAGCTTTGCTTAACCCTTTAAGACCTACCATAGAACCAAGTCCGCCAGAGCTTATATTATATTTTTATATGCTGTAGTGCCATTTTTGGGAGCATTTCAAGTTGCTATACATCAATACAACCATAATAGCCCAGATTTTAATAATATGTCTGCATTAAGTGCATAGTAATTACATAAATTGCAAAAAAGTGCAATAACCTACAAAAAAATTGAAATCCTTCAAAAAAAAATTTCTAGTTAGAGAAATTTAAGAGGCTTATCCCTCAAAACTGTAAATACAAAAAAGTTGCACAAAATAGTTTCCTACCACAGGAAATTTATTTTGAGTGTCTTCATTGTTTCATTTTTGAAATACACCAATTTTTATATACTGCAGGAAAAACGAAAATAAATATTATACTGCAAATTTGCAAAAAAGCAGCATATGCATCAAAATAAACTATTTCCAGCAGTGCAATATGAGTCCTAAGCATCCCAGAAACGACACAGAAAGTCATAAAGTCAAAGATAACTTTTAAAAACACCAGTATAGGCTCATGAGGCCCTGATGGTAAAAAACTACATTTCCGCAAAAATGACGTCACTTCCGGTCTCGGGCAGGTAATGGCGGACATGCAAAAGTTCGCGCTGACGTCTATTCCAACGTAGGAAGTGTTATGAACAGCTGATCGGATCGGCAAAGCGTGTTTCTGGAATATTATGTTTTTGTTGCTGCAAGCGCTTTTTATGCAGTTTTTGCAAAGCTATATGTGGAAGGAAACTGTGACCTAGCACAAGCTGATGGCATAAGATGTAAGTACAACTCCTCCGGTTTCATATGCAAAAAAAATTATTGCGCTAGCTTACGTGGTTGCAGAGCTACCGGGATTTAAAAATAGTTATGCAAAACAGAGCGTGCCCGCTCCGACCGGCTTTAAAGGGTTAAAGCTTACCTGTCAGCCACGTTGAATGGTGACGCCTGAGTCTAACTCTTCACTCAAACAGTGCGGTAAAAAAGTGGTCCTTGACCACTTAGCTTTTTACAGGTGGCCAAAATCCCACGGAGTTTAACTGGACGCCGCCAGGCTTGGTCACACGTCCGTAGACCAAGAGTCGTTGTCACACGCTGACCAACCACGCTCCTCGGAGTCTGATGCCCGAATCTAACTCTGCTAATCAATACAGGGATAAATCCATCCCTTAACCAAATATCATAACCTAATATCTCTTTTCTTCCACGATTAATCACAATAAATTTTCTCAAATATCCCCAAACTTTACTGTTATTTATTTCTAATTTCCCAAAATTATCATGGACGTGTCACCTGAAATCTACTTAACAGATTTTATACTTTAGTTTAATTTCACCACTACTGAGCCAATTTGACGGTCACGGTCATCAACTCAGGGGACAACGAATTTAGAATTCATCCAATATGCACAAATTTTGAACAGGCTTGTGCTTACCTTTAAATCTTTTAGACCGGTGTGTTGTCCGCCTCATATCAGATCGTACCTTAAACTCCAAATTAGTCCCCTCAGCCGCAAAAGAATCCGGGTCATGGCACCAAGTATTAAATCCAGTTCTTTGTATTCTTCACGGCAAAGAAAGACTCAAGGCTCAAAGTGGTCAAACTCAAAAAATGATCTTTAATTTTACATATTCCGGAATATGGAGACCTGAACACACGAACATATAAGCTCAGGTCTGAAGCACAAAAAGGAAGCCTAGTTATTTATATAATTCCTCTCGACGTCACACACACTTTACGTTTCGATCAAACACCCTACTTAGTTTCACTTTCTGGCTGCAGGTCCTATTTTCTCTGCAAAAGCTTGTAGTTTCCTGTCAGTACTTTTTGGCACAGACTGTACTCAGAGTTGGTCCTCTGCTAGAACAATCTAATCAGCAAATAAGCATTCAGATTATATTTTTAAATCCCAACACGCGTTGCTGCCCATCTCTGTTCAAAACCGAGAAAATCAGTTTTTTAATTTGGAATTTAAATTTGTTTTTGAAATGAGGTTTTGATTGAAAGCTTAAACCATTATTTTTGTGAAATAAATTTTTTTTTAATTAAAGGGAAATTAAAGTGAAATGAGCTAAAGTGGCTTGTTAGACAGAGGATGAACTGAGTTACTACACTGGGTCCAGTATGTTAACCCTTTAAGACCTACCATAGAACCAAGTCCGCCAGAGCTTATATTATATTTTTACATGCTGTAGTGCCATTTTTGGGAGCATTTCAAGTTGCTATACATCAATACAACCATTACAGCCTAGATTTTAATAATATTTATGAATTAAGTGCATAGTGATTACATAAATTGCAAAAAGGTGAAATAAACTACAAAAAAATTGAAAATCGTTTTTGTTTTTTTAACATATATTTCTAGTTAGAGAAATTTAAGAGGCTTTTCCCTCAAAACTGTAAATACAAAAAAGTTGCACAAAATAGTTTCCTACCACAGGAAATTTATTTTGAGTGTCTTCATAGTTTTATTTTTGAAATACACCAATTTTTATACACTGCAGGAAAAACGAAAATAAATATTATTATGCAAATTTGCAAAAAAGCAGCATATGCATCAAAATAAACTATTTCCAGCAGTGCAATATGAGTCCTAAGCATCCCAGAAACGACACAGAAAGTCATAAAGTCAAACATAACTTTTAAAAACACCACTAAAGGCTCATTGAGGCCCGGACGGTAAAAAACTACATTTCCGCGAAAATGACGTCACTTCCGGTTTCGGGCAGGTCATGGCGGACATGCGATAGTTCGTGCTGACGTCTAATCCAATGTAGGAAGTGTTATGAACAGCTGATCGGATCGGCAAAGCGTGCTTCTGGAATATTATGTTTTTGTTGCTGCAAGCGCTTTTTATGCAGTTTTTGCAAAGCTATATGTGGAAGGAAACTGTGACCTAGCACAAGCTGATGGCATAAGATGTAAGTACAACTCCTCAGGTTTCATATGCAAAAAAAATTATTGTGCTAGCTCACGTGGTTGCAGAGCTATCGGGATTTAAAAATAGTTACGCAAAACAGAGCGTGCCCGCTCCAACCGGTTTTAAAGGGTTAAATAAATGTGGACCAGACACAATGTCTCCAGACTTGAGAAGTCACATGGATGAGTGATGAAATGTTTCTTCCACTGAAAACACAACGTCCAGATGAAAATAATCTATTTTGGGGACTTTTTCATACCTACATGATTGAACATGCATCAAGACATTTAATTTTTGTGATTTTGTTTTTTCTGTTCTTTATATCTAGACTAAGTGATTGTTTCCTCTCAGAGAGAAGCTGTGAAGCTCTGTTCTCAGTTCTCAGCTCCCAATCCTCTTGTCTGAGAGAGCTGGAGCTGAGTAACATGAAACTCCAGGATTCAGGAGTGAAGCTTCTGTCTGCTGCACTGCAAAGTCTGTATTGTACACTGGAAACTCTGAGGTGAGATCAAAGTATGTTTTATTTTTTATTAAATGAAACAATTCCATCCATCCATCCATCCATCTTCTTTCGCTTATCTGGGGCCGGGACGCGGGGGCAGTAGCCTAAGCAGAGAAGCCCAGACCTCCCTCTCACCAGTCACATCCTCCAGCTTGTCCGAGGGAACACCAAGGTATTTCCAGGTCAGCCGAGAGATATGATCTCTCCATGATGTCCTGGGTCTGCCTCGGGGCCTTCTCTCGGTGGGACATGCCCAGAACACCTCACCCAGGAGGCGCCTAGGAGGCATCCCTGTCAGATCCCAAAACCACCTCAACTGGCTCCTTTCGATGTGGAGGAGCAGCGGCTCTAATCTGAGTCCCTACCAGGGACTATCTCTACGGGAGAGGCCAGCTGCCCTTTGGGGGAAGCTCACTTCTGCCACTTGTATCCACGGTATCGTTCTTTCGGGCACTACCCACAGCTTGTCACCATAGGTGAGGGCAGGTAGATCGACCGGTAAATTGAGAGCTTAACATTTACACTCAGCTAAACAAAAATAATCAAAGGATACCGGTGAATAGTGGCAGCAAGTCGCACCAGCATTCATTCAACCGGAACTGGAAGTTCCTGAAGTTTTAAATCGAACATGTGGAGGCTCTGTTAGATGGATAACATAGTGAGTTCAATGCATTGATGTGACAATTGTCCTGAATGATTTAGTTATTCTCTATGGTTTAAGAGATTGCAATGATTTATTCATATTTATTACAACTACTTCTCATTATATATCTTGCTTCCTTGTTTGTGTCCTGTGTCACTAAAAATAAATTCTATTTTAGTTTTATACATTGATTAATGACTGCAGAATTTTGTTATTGTATTAGGTATCCATGATTGTAACTTAAAGTCACTCATTAGGATGTTTGTTCTAATTTCTATAAAATGACCTCAGAGTGCATCAAAAATAAAACTAATAGCCTATAAAGAGCAATATAAACTTATTTAGAACTTACCTCAATGAAAATGTCATGAACACACCAAAAGATATCTTGGGATGGTAGAGAACTGGATATAAGCTCATCTCACAGCTGCTATCCAGGCCAGACACCTTCTTTTGGTAACATCTGATACGTGAGCTCCCTCATGTTGCTTCTAGGTGGAGAAACAATGAAAAGCCCATTTTCAAGCTTATTCCCTTACCGGTCGAGCGATCTAACATTACAACCGACCACACAGCTAGTACAAACTGTAGCTGATGTTATTTGTGTGCTTTCGCTCCTCTCAATTGTTATTGCTTTGTTTGGCCTACACAAATGGCGCCTCAACCAAAAATCCTGGTCATGCCCCTCACACGACATCACGTTCCAAAGCCCTATAAGACAAACACTTAATTAAAATAAAAAGTGCTAAGCACATTAATATATATAACATGCTCTTCTCTGGTGTAAGAAATTTCCAGAAGAGTGTCCAGCCACACAAATTATGCACAAAAACAAGATAGAAGTAACAAACTGAAGTACAAGGGCATCCATTTACGGTGCCATCTTGGAAACAAGATCCGAAGTTTGATAACGGATGGACTCTCCTTTCCAGCACCATGACATAGACTTTCCCAGGGAGGTTAAACAGTGTGATTTCCCTATAGTTGGAACACACTCTCTGGTCTCCTTTCTTAAAAATGAGAACCCCCATCCTGGTCTGCCAATCCAGAGGTACCTAACCCCTGATCTCTACACAACATTGTAGAGGTGTGTCAACCAGGACAGCCGTACAACATCCAGAGCCTTCAGGTTCACGGGGCGGAGCTCATCCAGCTGATGGGATCTACCAGCAAGGAGTTGTTTAACTTCCTCAGTGACCTCACCCCCAGAGATTGGCGGGTCATCCTCTTCGTCCCCCAGACTCTGCTTCCTCAACGGAAGACGTGCCAGTGGGATTAAGGAGGTTCTCATAGTATTCCTTCCACAGCCCGACAATTTTCTTAGTCGCAGTCAGCAGCGCTCTACCTGCACTATACATAGTGTATAGTGCTCTACCTGTACTATACATAGTGCAGGTAGAGCATCACTTTACCCTCCTTAGTCGCCTGAAGGTTTGCCAGAATCTGTTCGAGGCACTCCGAATTTTTTTTTTCCATGACCTCTCCGAACTCCTCCACACCCGACTTTTTGCTTCAGCTACTGCCCGCACCGCATTCCGCTTGGCCTGTCGGTAACTATCTCCTGCATCCGAGGTCCCACAGGCTAACCAAGCCCGATAGGACTCCTTCTTCGGCCTGGTGGCTTCCTTCACCTCTGGTGTTCACAATTTGGTTCGTCGGTTACCACCATGACAGGCATCAACCACCTTGCTGCCGCAGCTCAGTGCAGCGGCTTCAGCCATGCAGGTGCTGAACATGGTCCATTCGGACTCAGTGTCCCTGGTCTCTCTCGGAATGCTGTTGAAGCTCTGCCGGAGGTGTGCGTTGAAGATCGTGCGGACTGGGGCCTCTGCCAGGCATTCCCAGTGCACCCTCACTATATGTTAGGCTCACCAGGTCTGTCCAGCGTCCTACCCTGTCATCTCATCCAACTCACCACCTAGTGGTTATCAGTTGACAACTCAGCCCCTCTCTTTACCCTAGTGTCCAGAACATATGGCCGCAGGTCTGGTGATATGATTACAAAACCGATCATTGACCTGCAGCCTTGAATGTCCTGGTGCCATATACACTTATGAACACTCTTATGTTCGAACATGGTGTTCAATACAGCCAAACTGTGATTTGCAGAGAAGTCTAACAACAAAACACCGCTTGGGTTCAGCTCCAGGAGGCCGTTCCTCCCAATCACGGCCCTCCAGGTCTCACTGTCATTGCCCACATGAGCATTGAACTCTCCCAGTAGGAAAACAGAGCACCCTCGAGCACCTCACCCAGGGACTCCAAAAAGGCTGAGTACTCTGAACTGTCACTCAGCACGTAAGTGCAGACAACAGTCAAGACCCATTCCACTGGGAGAAACCCCAACGTAAAGGCAGCAAGTCGAGCGGATACTAGAATACCCACCCCAGTCCGCGGCCTCTCACCAGGGGCAACTCAAGACTGAGAAAGAGTCTAGCCCCACTCCAGAAGACTAGTTCCAGAGCCCAAGCCATGCATTGAGGTGAGCCCGAAGATATCTACCTCTACCTCTCAACCTCATACACTAAGTCAGCCTCTTTCCCCACAAGAGAAGTGGGGGGCCTCCACCCCCCCAGCATATTGCACCCGACCCCTACAGCGCCTCCTGCAAGTGGTAGGCCTGCAGGAGGATGGGCCCATGTCCCTTTTTTTGGCTGATTCGTGGAGGGGATGAAAAAATGTGCAATTAAAACAAAAATTTTAATGGTCTATTTGTTGTTGTCTCAGAATTTTTCATTATTTTTAAGTTGGAGTAAAATGGCATATTTCAGATTTGCTTAAAATCAGGGAATGGCAATTCCGGCTACCCCATAAAAACATTAAATATTTCTAAATCTGGAAACTCTTTGCTGCACCATCTATACACTTCAATCCAACATTTTTGTCTGTGTTCTTTATTTCTAGAATGAATGGTTGTTTCCTCTCAGAGACAAGCTGTGAAGCTCTATCCTCAGTTCTCAGCTTCCAGGCCTCAGGTCTGAAAAAATTGGATCTGAGCAACAACAGCCTCCTGGATTCAGGCGTGATGCTTCTGTCTCTTGCAGTGGAGAGTCCACACTTTACCCTAGAAAGTCTAAGGTCAGAAAATCAGACTTTTCCACTCAGTATAAAATTAATCTGTGTTGCATCGCCAAATAACTGGCAAAAAATGGTCAGGTGCCTTTCATTTACTTTTGGTTATTAGACTGTAAATTACTGTCTAAAGCTACACCAAGTTTAAACAAAAGACGGCATGCGCCAGCAGATGTGACGTCATTTTGACATTTGCCACCATGTAACAGGGTATGTACTGAGCATTAAAGTCCTCCACGCGGTTTCCACAAGTAGAATACAGGGCCGAGCCTTCAGCTTCCAGATTCTTCTCCTGTAGAAACAGCTCTGAATTTGGGTCTTGGAGACAGAAATGCTTTATGTGTTTGAAATAAGACAATAGCAATTCTAACCACTCTGGAAACTGAGTGGTTGGGATGTGCTAAATATGGTAACTTATCACTGCACAAACAAAGTATGTTTTTCTTTTTCTTTTTTATTTCAGATTAAGTGGGTGTTTTCTTTCAGGGAGAAGCTATGAATCACTGGCCTCAGTTCTCAGTTTCCAGTCCTCTAGTTTGAGAGAGTTGGACTTAAGTGACAACAACTTACAGGATTCAGGTGTAAAGCTTCTGTCTACTGCACTGCAGAGTCCACACTGTACACTGGAAACTCTGAGGTCAGATCAAAGAATATTTCATTTTTTATCAAATTACATAATTAACCTGTTAAAAACTTAGATAGTAAGCTCAAATTCATCCACTTGTAGTTGGGTCTTACTATTTGTCATTATTTCTATGTCACAGTAAAATAACATGTTTTTGGTGTGTTTAAAATAAGGCAATAGCAGTTCTGTCCAGTAAAATTTAATTAAATTTAATTAAATTTAATTTAATTGGATTAAATTAGGGCAGAACGGTGGCACGGTGGTTAGCACTGTTGTCTCACAGCAACAAGGTCATGATTTCAATTCCAACATCAGGCCGGGTTCTATCTGTGTGGAGTTTGCATGTTCTCCCAGTTTTTGCATGGGTTCTCCCCGGGTACTCCGGCTTCCTCCCACAGTCAAAAGACATGCACTTGGGAGGTTAACTGGAAACACTAAATTGCCCATTTGAATGCGGGAGTGAATGTGAGGGCAAATGGTTGTCTCTGTCTATGTGTTAGATAGAGACAACCATGCGACAGACTGGAAGACTGGCTGTGATGGACTGGCGACCTGTCCAGGGTGTACCCTGCCACTCACCCTAAGACAGCTGGGATGGGCTTCAGAACCCTCCAAGACCCTGAAAAGAATAATTGGAAGTGGATGGATGGATAAATTAAATTAAATCTAATAATTCCTCACTGTAGCATAATAATTTCAGTGTGTTTGTCTTTGTTTTCTTTATTTTTCAGACTGGGTACCTGTAACCTCTCAGAGAGAAGCTGTGACTTTCTGTCCTCAGTTCTCCGCTCCCAGTCCTCTACCCTGAAAGAACTGGACCTGAGTGACAATGACCTGAATGATTCTGGAGTGAAGTTTTTGTCTGCTGCTGTGGAGACTCCCCATTGCACACTAGAAAGTCTCAGGTCAGAATTCAGTCTCTTCCACTCTGTATTATTTATCATCTTTATTAGATACTGATAAAGGATCTAAAGCTTATAGAATTGCCAGGTACCTTTTATTTAACGTTTGGTTGGATTTTCAGACTGACTTTCATAAACTTCATAAATTTTCATAAAGATATTTTCATAAGACTACAAGCAACTCTTGAGTCCTTTTTGATAAAGTGATGTCTTTCCTTCGTTGATCAATATTGATAAAATGTTACAATTATTTAAAACACCCTTTGCCAGAGTGTTTTTGAAAAATTGAGTGACACACTCGTTTCTTCTAGGTTGAAGTCAAATTTACTATCACGTTATTTAAAAACTGCCTGAAAAGCCTTTAGTTGATCCAAAATGCTGCAGTGAGAGTACTGAGAGGGGGCTTCTCCCTTTTAGATCACTGTTAAATCCAGAATCAAAGTTAAAATTCTTCTTTTTATGTGCAAAGTTCTGAATATTCAGGCTACATTATACATTAAAGACCTCATAGGAGTATATTATTCTATAGGATCATTATAGACTATCAGACTGCAGACTTAAGGCACCAATAAACCCGCTGAATTGGTTATTTTGTGCTGCCACAACAACCTCACAGTCACTTCTATTTAATGAGCAGATAGCCTGCGCGGTATTATTTTCATTTTTTATTTTTTTCTGAATGACATTTGGCAACACTCACACAGATCAGCACTGACATGAAAAGAGAAGTCAAAATAGGAAGTAACAAAGAATGTTTTCTTTTTTACTCTTACAATATAGTATATACTGTACAGGGTGGGCCATTTATATGGATACACCAGAATAAAATGGGAGTGGTTGTTGATATTAAAGTCCTGTTTGTGGCACATTAGTATATGTGAGGGGGCAAACTCCTCAAGATAGGTGGTGACCATGGTGGCCATTTAGAAGTCGTCCATCTTGGATAAAACTTTTGTTTTTTCAATAGGAAAAGGGCCATGTGACACATCAAACCTATTGGTAATGTCACAAGAAAAACAATGGTGTGCTTGGTTTCAACATAACTTTATTCGGTGTATCCATATAAATGGCCCACACTGTATATGCAATATTGTGGTCAAGTTTTGCTCAAGTGGAATGTACAATTGTTAAGGTATTCTCTTTTAATATTGTAGGGTTTACTGCTACACAACTTGAGCCAACTTGATATCGGTTGTCGCTTTATGAAGCTAAGTTGAATTGAATGGATGAAATGAATCAGGGTATTTGTATCCGGGGATAAAAGGCACAACAAAAACAAATATTTAGTGAAGTGTTCACAAATCGATGGTTTTGTGTATCTGCAGTTTGTCAGGCTGTCTGATCACAGAGGAAGGCTGTACGTTTCTGGCCTCAGCTCTGAGTTCCAACCCCTCCCATCTGAGAGAGCTGAACCTGAGCTACAATCATCCAGGAGACTCAGGAATTATGCTGCTGTCGGCTAGACTGAAGGATCCCCGCTGGAGACTGGAAACTCTCAGGTATGGAGAGAATGTCTGATAGAGGAGGAAGAGCTAGAATCATTCTCTGTTTCCTTTACTATGTTCCTTTTTTGGAGGGTGTGTGTGTGTGTGGGGGGGGGGGGGCAGGCATATCTATATATAAACATATATATCTATATATGGCTTTAGGACCCTTACTGGATTAAGACGCCCCAGGCGGGAATCAAACTTGTGAGCCTCCGCTCCAAATACGTGTAGTCCTTTAGCTCGGGTCCTTAACCACAGGCCTGGGAGCTTGAGATTCCTGCGCAGTATCTTAGCTGTTCCTAGGACTGCACTCTTCTGGACAGAGATCTCCAATGTTGTTCCTGGGATCGGCTGGAGCCACTTGCCTAGCTTGGGAGTCACCAATGCTCCAATTATCACTGGGACCACTGTTACCTTCACCTTCCACATCTTCTCGAGCTCTTCTCTGAGCCCTTGACATTTCTTGAGCTTCTCGTGTCATTCGGAAACACTACATCTATCACTATGACCGTCTTCTTCTTCTGTTTGTCTTCTGTTGATGGCTAACCACCACTGGTTGGTTAGCCATCACTATTTTGTCCGTCTGTATCTGGGGGCGTCTCCCATTTTGACCTTGGGACTTCCAGGCCATGTTCGGCACAAATGTTTCTGTACCCTATGCCGGCAACTTGGTTATGGCGTTCCATGCACGCCCTGCCTGCTAGCATCATGCACCCTGCTGTTATGTGCTGGATTGTCTCAGGGGCATCTTTATATAGCCTGCTCAGAGCTTGTTCCTTTGCTGCCATTATTAGTGCCTCTGTGCTGTCGTTCAGTCCAGCTTTGTCAAGCCACTGGTAGGATTTCTGGATGTCAGTCACCTCCACTATCTGCCGGTGGTACATACCGTGCAGAGGCTTGTCCTTCCATTATGGTTCTTCATCGTCCTCCTCTTTCTTGGGTTTCTGCTGCCTGAGGTATTCACTGAGCACACGGTCAGTTGAGGCCATCTTCTTGATGTATTCGTGGATGTTCCTTGTCTCATCCTGGACAGTCCCCGGCCTCCTTCCTTCCGCTAAGCGTACAGCTCCAGGGTGCTGGACTTGGGGTGAAACCCTCCATGCATGGTCAGGAGCTACCTTGTCTTGATGTCAGTAGCTTCTATCTCCTCCTTCGCCAACGTATTATCCCAGGAGGGTAACTGATCACAGGCAGGGAGTAGGTGTTGATAGCCCGGATCTTGTTCGTACCTATCAGCTGACTCCTCAGGATATGCCTGACCCTCTTGCCTGTCCTAGCATTTACATCATCTAGCAGATCTTCTGAGGGTACATCACGTAGTCTTGGTAAACGGCTACGGGGGATCCAGGTCAGTCTTTCAGGTCAGTTCCTCTCGCACTCAATGATCCTTCTTCTATCGCACTTGGGGCTTGGCACCCAATCTCGGGTGGGGGTGATGATATCTCCCCCCTGACCTGTCGTCCCGGCTCCCCCTTGCCGTAGCATTTTTGTTGTACCTTGTCAATTTCTAGCTGTGAGAGCAATCCTTTCGAATGTCCGAACACTAAGCTATAGTTGTTTCGCCGTCAATGTGGATGTTGAGTATCAAAGATTCCATATGTCCCTTATCCTATTCATGTAACCCCTTCTGCTAGGGTTACTTGCATAGTAGCATTCCAAGAATGCCCTATTTTCATCCCTTGTCCTCACTTCTCATCAGGGTGCCCTGGTTCCTCAACACCTAAAGCAAGCCTTGTTGATCCAGACGATGTCCGAGCTGGAATGATACCAGGCAATTCACATCACCTAGTAGATCTTCTCAGGGTACTTGGCGTAGTCTTGGTAACCGGCTACGGAGGATCCAGGTTTCAAGCTTCACCATGATTCTTTCTTTCAGGTAATGATATCTCCCCCTGACCTGTCGTCCTGGCTCATCCCTGCAGTAGCATGTGTGTTGTACCTTGTCAGTCTGTAGCTGTGAGAGCAGTCCCTTCGTCCGAATTTTGGAACACTGCGCTACTAGTTGTTTTGCCATCAATGTGGATATTGGGTATCATCCTATTCATGTGATACATTAATAGGGGGTGGCTGTAGCTCAGGTGGTAGAGCATGTCATCCACTGATCGGAAGGTTGGCGGTTCGATTCCTTTCTTCCCCTAGTCTACATGCCAAATATCCTTGGGCAAGATACTAACCCCAAATTGCTCTCCGATGCATCCATCGGAGAATGAATGTGTGTGAATGTTAGCTATGTGCTTGTGCGAATGGGTGTGAATGGGTGAATGCACAAGTTGTGTAAAGTGCTTTGAGTGCTCAGATGAGTAGAAAAGCGCTATATAAGAACCAGTCCGTTTACCATTTACTTGCGTAGTAGTATTCCAACAAGGCCCTATTTTTGTCTCTTGCGCACCAATACCTTCTTGTTCCAGTAGCCTGCTTCTCATCAGGGTGTCCTGGTTCCTCAACACCTGACGCTGACCTTGTTAATCCGGGCGATGTCCGAGCCAGCATGACTTCATATTTATCTCTCTCACTCATGTCTGTGGTAGACTCACTTTGCATCAATACAGCGGTGTATTGACAGATCCAGGATCAGTCCAAATCATCAGCAGTTTGATCTACGTATTGATTGAAGTGTATCTGTGAAAATCTTGGACAGTTCCTTTATCAGTGTCTAACAGTGTGTGTATGAGAGCTATGTAATGTCCATGTGTGCATGCTGAAAAAGACTGTGCTCGTCTGACCCCCCTCCTCCTTTCAGGTTGGAGCCTGCTGGAGTCCGATGGTTGACACCAGGATGTCTCACGAAGTGTAAGTGTGTTTTTAATGTGATTCAGGAAAACAAAGAGGTACACATTTAACCATCTTCAGACTGTCACATCACTCATTCAACTCTGTCAGGAGTCATCATCAAAGTGTCAATCAATGAACAGATAATGGATCAATAACTGCAGCTGGATTGTGTTTGTTCTCTCCATCAGATTCCTGTCAACTCACAATCGACACAAACACAGTACACACAAACCTCAAACTGTCTGAAAACAACAGGAAGGTGACACGTGTGGAGGAGGTTCAGTCATATCCTGATCATCCAGACAGATTTGATGTCAAGTGTCAGCTGCTGTGTAGAAATGGTATGACTGGTCGCTGTTACTGGGAGGTCGAGTGGAGTGGAAATGTTTATATATCAGTGAGTTACAGAAGAATCAGAAGGAAAGGAGGCAGTAATGTCTGTTTGTTTGGACACAACGGTCAGTCCTGGAGTCTGGACTGCTTTGACGATGGTCCTCATTCTCTTAGGCACATTAACAGAAGAAAATCCATCTCCTCCTTCTCCTCCTCCTCTGTTGCTAACAGAGTAGCAGTGTATGTGGACTGTCCTGCTGGCACTCTGTCCTTCTACAGAGTCTCCTCTGACACACTGATCCACCTCCACACCTTCAACACCACATTCACTGAAGCTCTTTATCCTGGGTTTGCATTCTTTCCTGACTCTTCAGTGACTCTTTGTTGAATGTGTAAAGAGTGTCCTCCTGTTAGAGAAACACTCATCTCAGTTAAATGATTGTAAATGTTTAATTTCTCTTCCTTAATGTGATTTTTTTCCATCATGACAGATGCTCCGCCCACACACACCTGTCCCATATATGAGCTGCTCTCAGCCCCCACACCTTAGAGCTGGCAGAGAAAAGCCACTAGATTCAAGGCTCCATTTAGTGCCTCTGAGAGTTAATGTAATAGAAACACTGACTCCGGGACTGTTTTAATCCAGCTGTTTCACACTGAACATCAGCTTGGATGAAAATGGAAGTTACTATGGAGCCTTTTTGAGGGGAGGCTTATGAAATGTGCAGAAACATGTTTGGCTAGTGATTGGCAGGTGAAGCTTAATGAAGCTTTGAGGCTTTCCTTCTCTTTGCACCCCAAAACATTCAAAGCTTCTAGGCTTCAATCTCTTAGAACAGCGACATACGGTGGCTGACTGAAGTCGAGGCGACTTCTCAAGAGCACTGCTGAAATACTGGCACAACTTCCTGCTTCAGTCTGATGTCATCAATAAAGCTGTGAACAGACTGTGTTCATTTGAATGTGCTTATGAAGCGCCTTGAGGTGACTTTTGTTGTGATTTGGTGCTATATAAATAAAATTGAATTGAATTGAATTAATGTTCTTGTTCATTGATACTAATGAATGAATTCATCATCGGTATATAGTGAAATTAATTAGTTGTTGTTATTTGTTCTTCTGGTGTCCAAGTGTTCAGTGTGGTCTCAGAACAAAAACAGATGGTAATAAAAAGGTAAAACGACGTGAATAAATATGCAGACACACTCAGCAACAACACTCTAAAACACATGAAACATGAAACTTCATCAAAATAGGATAGGGAAATGAAGAGTCACATGTGTGTGCATGTTCATTTCAAATATCCAGGATTTAGAAAGCATTCAAAAACAAGTTGGACTTAAAAACACTAAAAACAGAAGAACAAGACAGCAGAGATACTTTCTGCTGCAGCTTTACACTTGATGATGGGCTGTGGATGAACACTCAAACATCTTGTTTTTTCCTGTAGTCCAGTGTTTTTACAGGTTTTATCATCAACTTTGATTAGTCATTTGGGGAATGATGTGGTGAATAAGGAATGTTTATTGACAGAAGCAGGTGTCAGATGGATTTTTTTCACAGGTTTTTCACCCAAAATCATCTTTTCTCTCCTGTGCCAGCTTCAGTGGACTCCTCCTCTGGCTCACCAGTCCCCGAGCTTTAGGAAATCTCCTTTCACATGGCATTGATGATGCAGGAATACACAGATTACTTCCACACTGGTGAATAGAGTGTCTGATGTGCTGCTCAGTATTTGAGGGGGTCTTCTGATCTTCCAAGTGGGGCTCTCTCATATACCTGTGAAACAGAAAGAAAGATGAAGCATCAGCTCAGAAACATAGGGTATAAGAAGGAAACATATTCTACCTGATTCTGTGCTGTCAGATCCAACCCAAACTTTGGAACACCGTTTTCCACCGTTATTTTGCAAAGCTCCGGAATCTCTCTCCCTCTGCTCACAGCCAAACATCACTGAACAATAACTATACATCTCATATAGATAGTTCAGCAGCAACGAATCAAAGCTGTCAAATAGGGCAAAAAAACAAAAACCAACTAAATAAGCAGAGAAAAAAAATACATATATCAATCACCTGGATCACCTGTTGAGAAAGAAAAAAGAAAACAAGCAGAAGAAAACGAGAGCAATAAAATAAACAACATCACGATGATATATGGGAATATAACAGTAAATACTAAATATTAAACATTATTGTGCAGCACGTAATATCGACAGCGCACAGTGTGCTTTGAGGTAGGAGCCAAAAAGGGTGTAGTTTGTGTGTGTGAGCACCCGTGTGTACACCTGTGAGCATGCATGCATTTGTTTTTAAAAGGTTCCTTCATGTAATAATCTGCTAGAGGGTGTGGGGAGCCACAGCCCTGTCCACCAGGGCATGAAGCAGGTATGGAGGAGATCAAAACTCCAGACATCCAGAGGCCCTCAGAACACAAGAGACCAAGGAAGACCAACAGAGGGGCAGCCGCGCCACTATCCCAGAAAGAGCTGAGGAGAGTCCCAGATGAGGGGTCAC